TCTGGGTCTGCACCAAGTCGATCAGCTTCTGCTGCTCCGCCGTGTAGACGACGTCGTCCACCACGACCTCCTCCTCGGGCTCCAGGTTGGCCGTCACCCTGTTCCTGGACACAAAGTCCCGCAGAGCAGCGTGGTCCCCGTATGCCTGTGAGGGTCCATGCCAGTCATTAGCCAAGTCCATCTCGCGCCGGCCGAGCTCGACCTGCTCGACCACCCCGTGAGGGCCCCTCCTGGCCACTGCCATCCACTCCTCCATGCCCTCCTCGTCCTGTTCCTCAGGCTCGGGCTGCTCAAAGAGATCCTCTTTGGTGGCTGCATCTGCGGCTGCCTCCTGCAGGGCGTTCTCCAGGGCCACCTCTGGGACGAGCCCGTGGTGCTCGAAGGCTTCCTTCCAGGTGCCTGGCCCCTTAGCCTCCGCCTCTCTCCGCCAAGCTGTGTGCAGCAGGACTTGGACTCGGTAGTAGGCCTCGTCACTGTCATCGTTGCCCGTCAGCTTTACGCGCGGGAAGACACGGACTATGGCCTCCCTCCTGGCCTGGACCCATCTCCCTCTACCCAAGACCAGCCTTTGGCAACCTGGAACGGTGTCAAGTCGTTAACACGGGGGTCATTGCGAGCTTGGTACTTCAAAACGAAAGCCGGGAACGTCGCATCAGCAGCGTCATCGCCCTCGTTCTGGTCACCCTCGGCTTGACCCTCGGCCTCCTCGTCGTCATGAGCGGCGGCTGCCGCACCCTCCTCCCCGGCCTCGGCCAGGCCTGGAGGAGGGTCGTCGGCCTCACCGTCGTCGCGGCGAGGGTTCTCCTCGCGGAGTGGAACCCAAGGGTTCTTGTTCAGGCTCACTACATGGAACGAGCGCGAGGAATCGTATAAGGGCTGCCCGGTCAGAATGTGGCAGACTTCCTGGGCGGAGTAGTCACGCTCCGACACGGTCTTCAATATTGTGAAAATTGTGAAGTATTTCTTATTTGGAATGGGTAATGTGGAAGATCCGACTGATGGCGAACCCAAAAAGCAACGGGAGCGGCATAACTGTTGTGTACCTCAGTGTTCGGCGGTGAAAAATGAATCGAACCA